GAGTGTGCGGAGACGATGAGATTGGCACAGGACAGAGCAGAGTTTAGAGCTGTTGTACATAGGGTCTCTATGAGTCACAAGCGACTCAATGCACGTAACAACAACAGCTACTACTCAGTCTGACTTACATTGGTCATGTTGCAGGGAGGGACCAGTCTTTGGAGAGGACTATCATGCTTGCATGGGTGGAGGGACAGAGAAAGAGAGGAAGACACTGGATGAGATGGATTGACTCAGTGACTGGGGTAATTGGGGTAGGTGTGTCAGAGACAGTGACTTTTGGCTGAAGATAGAGATCAGAGTTATTGTACATGGGTTTACTATGCGTTGCAAGCAACTCAGTGATATATGACAATGAAAAACAGCAATTTAATGAGCTCTGGTGGCCTAGTGGGTAAGAAGTTGGTTAGAGTCCACCAGCTGCTGTACTGGAGAAAGGTTAGCAATTTCCTCCCAAGCAATTTACAACTTCTGAAAAGGTACCTGTAAGGGTGGTTTTTAAAAAACCTACTTAATAAGGACCAGTTCTTGGAAAATGATGACATACTGGGATTTCCAGAGCACTTAATTATGCTCATGTGGAACCTAGACCTGGATGCTGTTGTGCGAATAGAGCAGGGGAACACTTCATGGTTTAACACATTGCTGCACACTTAAATTGATGACTGTGCTTAGAAACACTTTATTTCCCCTGTCATTGTGGCAACGTGTTAATATTAAGAAGGGAGTGCCTCAGGATTGTATTCTTGATACATAACCTGCTCAATCTGTATGCTGACCAAATTATTCGAGAAGCTGAACTCTGTGAAGAGGAATGTGGCATCGGGGTGGAGGGAGACTGATCAGTAACCTGTGTTATGCAGATGACACAACCTTGCTTGCTGAAAGTGAGGAGGATTTAAAGCACTTGTTGCAGAATATCAAGGAATGCAGCCTTCGATATAGATTCCTCTCTGTCAAGAAAACAAAGATTCTTACCACTGGACCAGTAGGCAGCACCATGATGGATAGGAGATTGAAACTGTTAACAGCTTCATCTTCCTTGGATCCACAATTAACACCCTTGGTACAAGCAGTCAGTGAGAAAGGAGACTCGTTGCACTTGGAAAATTGGCAGTTAGGGACGTTTTCAAATTATTGAGAAGTAATGATGTCAATTTGAGGACTTAAAAGTGCATCTAAATCAGACTATAGTCTTTCTGATCACTTGTGATGCATCTGAGAGCCAGACAGTGACTAAGGATGGCAGAATTGACACCTTTTAGCTGTGGTGTCAGTAGTTGGAAAACATGGGCTTGGTGACAGGAATGAAGCTGGGGATAGAATGATTGAATTTTGTACAATCAATGACTTATTCATTGCAAATACATTTTATAAGAGACACAAACGCAGGTTATAAACATGGATTTCACCTGATGGTATGCATGAGAATCAGATCGTTTACATCTGTGGAAAAAACCGCTGGAGAAGCTCAGTATCAGCTGTGAAAACTAGGCCAG